GTGTACCCATTAGCTTACTGGTAAGGCATCTTCATTGATAACAACAGAAGCATTAAGTTGCATAAACATAAGCCATACAAAGAAAATAATAAATACACTTTTTTGGCAGTCACTGCTGGCATATAAAGTGACATGGCATTTGTTTTTAAAGGAGTTAGATGTATGAATACAACCATTCAGATTGTTGCCTAGAAAGCAAATGTTGGCCAGAGTCTTGTTTTCCTCACTGATATGCATAAATTGTACAGAGAGGTGCATAAGCAGATTAGTTGAGGGCAAACAATACATTAAGCGTCATTGTCCATATCCTCAATAAGTATCTGTAAATGTCATGAAGTGCATTTTAAGTGTGCCTTACATCTTCATTTTATTGTAACAGTGTGCAAATTCAGGGTGTAGGCATTACAGTTTGAACTGTTGTTTCAGTGTTTTATCAAAATAATGGAATTATATGGGCACAATGAAGGATGTCAATATTCGCTCTGACTTACGAGGCAACTTGTTTCATTTGCATATCTGTCATTCATAGCCTGACCTTGAGATCTTCTCATTGTTCTTCCTCATCAATTTATCTGTAAAGAGTACGTATAAAGATGTTTTGTCTTTCTGTAGCTATTGTGAATATCCCATTATTCAGGAAATACATATTAACAAGGAATAGGGATATTAACAAATGTTTGAACTTAGTTTGACCCATTTGATGAGATCGTGATAACGAGCCATACTGTTATGAAGCAGGTAATTTCTGAGGTTGCAATGAAATCTTTGTTTGCCTTTTGTTAGTGTATAGAGGAGGAACACAGTGTTACTGGAAAATTAAAAAGAAAAAACATTTTAATGATTTCTAAATGCACTTTTCTTTAAATACTCTTTGTGCTTTTAATTAGAAAATGTCACTGATAGCTGTCTCATGCATTACCTGTCATAGTTTAAAAATTACACTTCCCTTCCACGTGTGTTTACACTGTTTCATGTGATGACATTTCATGTTTTATTGGTCACAGCTGAAGCTTCAGCTGAACCTTGTTCCCACAGGACAATAGTACGTCATCTCAAATATGTAAATGCATAGCATCATAATAGGGGGGGTGAAAGTGTTCAGTTTATAGAAACAAAACAATTACATGATCAACGTCTTTATGAGCCTCCTTCAATGGGTAATTTTATCTTGCTTTCTAAACAGGATCAAGATTGTTGCAATAGAACAATTGCATTGGAAATATTCTTTACAGGCTCATACAGTCAGTCCTTCTGTGAGTTGGCAAGGGATCTGACAATTCCTGAATCATCTAAAGACAGTTATCAAATATGACATGGCTATCTCTTCTCCCTTTTTCCTTCACATTAAACCTATGTAGCTATCTTTACCTCTCCTCTGAGGTTTTATTTTCCAAACCATTTACTCCTGATTGTTGTTCAGCTTTAAACTGTCTTCAGTTCATCTGTGTTATTTTCTGACATGTGCCACTCAGAACTGAAAGCAACATTTTCTAGCAGTGTAAGCTCATGTCATTTCATTGTTGGTAAACTGTGTGCAGCCCAATTTTGATACTTCCCCCCCATTTTTTTTCAGTGATTGCATGGCTTTGCCAGTGCATAAACGTGGTTGGGCTGCTAGCCAGAGAAACGTGCCCAAGAACCTTAAGTTGTGCTTCTGACAAGTCTCATAAGCTGGCTCCTTTGTGGTCTTGGTGCGCTGGTTAAGGTGAACCACACTGGCTAGAAAGGCCACAGGCATTGACAGGTATCAGCTTCCCTGCTGGCATGATGCCGAATGCAGTTCTACATGTTATGTTTGACTGGTTTAGGATAGCACCTCGTGGAGCCAGTGGAGAAAATAATTCTATTTCAATCATATGAGGACCCTTTACATAGATTTTTTTATAAACACAGAGGAGTGTAAAAATGATTCACTGATCAGACCAACAGCAGGAAGCAAAAGCGTATTATTGCACTAGTCAAATTGGGGGCAGGGAGCAAAAATTGGCAAAAGACTGATTTAATCATTACTTGCCATGTTTGTGGGTTGTTTTCCTTTGTACCATTGCTAATCTTTGATCAGATGTTAGACTGTTCTTGAGTTAACTGGTTTTTTTCCCTATACTATGTAGCATTTACCATTCTGATGATCAAGATTCCTAAAGCTTTGCTATATCTTAGTATAAATTAACTTTGAGACAAAGGCTTTCTTTCACACAGCACTGTTGTTACAAAAGAGCAGTACCCATAGGAATACAATAAGAACTGGTCTCGTTGTTTACCTTTTATGTTGATGAGCCACATCTGAACTTGGGTAGTCCTTCTGTGTACGTTTAGGAGCATGTGTGTACATCAGCCTGTCATAATTATTAGATGTTTCTTCAGTCCAAATCATAACTTGGAGCAAGCCATGTTATGGAGTGAATAATTTTATGTGCAGCTTTGTTTCCTGTGCTTTTGTAATGGCTGGTTATGTGTAGTAGTAAAATTATTGAAGGTCATATCACAATTTCAGAGTGGAAGTAGACAGTCATTCTTTCACAGAATATTCTTAAATTACTTTCTGCTACTTTAAACACAAAAGATGATGTAGCATAGTCTGATTTACCAGCATCTCTTTATAGTCTGCATATTTTTGAAACAAAAAATATAGTATCCTGCTGCCTGTTACTGATTCAGAAAACAAGGTAAATTATTTCTTCTCAGTTCACCTACAGTATGATTATGTTTAGCCACAAGTCTGACAAACACACCACTATGGTATCATCTAACCAAAACAAATTGTCTACTGGTAGCAGAAGACAGGTCCTTAATCAGACAGAGACTGAGACAGCATTCTGAACCTGAGATTCAGAAGCATCAGATTGCTTATCACTAAAACCAGTCTGTCTTATATTAAAAATCAAACACATAAAAACTTAAAACAATTTTCCCTGTGCCTCCGGTTTGCCAGTGCTAGTTGACACTTCTAGATCCTTTGCCTCTGCCTCACACAGGTGGTTTTCACTGGAGGAGGATGGTTACACTAGGGCAGGAATGCTGCTGGCTGAGATGTATAATCATACTGACCAGCTGCAAAAGACAACAAACATTAACACTTTTTCCCTCCCCCCCCAATTATGTCAAGCGGTAACATACTGAAACTATACACCAAAGGTTTTACTGTACTCCAGCAGCTATAGGCATCAAAATTATCAGACTGGTGTGAACCACAAAACATCAGTTTAGCAGTATAACACTGAAGAGAAAAAGAATGTTAACTAAATGCGTATATGTAAATTGAATTAATGTCTCCTGGCAGCAGAAAGGCAGCTCTCAATATTGAAACATATGTTGTGTGAAGCGTTGTACAGTATAAGAAAAGATGCTATCTATTTACAGTCCATTACACCAGACAACAGCCAAAGAAGTAGATATGTATTAGGTGTGCATAACATACTCATAAACATGTACCTGGAATTGCTGTTATCTGATGCTCTATGCGAACAATCAGTAGGCTCATTAGGTGCCCCAGCATAATCAGCAGCATATGATAGGAAAGGCAGTACAGGGGACTTGGCCCCTGTCATGTATGGGAACATTTTACACCCTCTGCTACAGCTTTATCTAATTACAGGCTAAGTTCACTTCAAGACTTTGAAGACCTTCCAAGTCACTGCATCCAGTACTCCATTACTGCAGAAAACATACCATAATCTCTTTCACCAGTTAATAAACTACATCTCTACAGCATTAGTGGTTTTGTTGCAAATTGGAATAGTGTTTGAGAACCTCAGTGCCCTAATGGCTAGATACCATCTCCTAATTTCCAGTTGAGATTTCTCAATGGCCAGTTAACACCCATTTGTTCTTGTGCCAGTGTTATCCATTAGTGCAGATACTCACTTAGGATGACAGAAGACTATCTCCTTGATGTATTTATAGCCCAGTGATATACCCTGTCTTCAGTTTCCTGGACTAAACAAGCCAAATTATCCTAGTTTTCACTTTTTAAATAGGCTATCTACTTCCCTGATCATTCTAATAACCTTGCCTGCATTCATTCTGGGCTTATAATCTCAGAGCTGAGTGATCAGACTTACACAAGCTTTCTACACAAAGCATAGCTGTGCCTTCTATAATGATATCGATACATTTCCAATTCCTGCTTCTTTCTGCATAAAACCAAGCATTGCTTGCGATGAAAGACTGAAAGGCACCAGCATTCCATGTTTAATGAAAGAGGTTTAAAAAGTGGCTGTCTGCATTTCAGATGGCTGCAGTAAGCATGCTTTCTATTTAGTACACATTTCAGAATTTTCATTATCTTTTCTGGCCCAATTGTTTTTCATCTCAGAATATGAAAATGGGTTAATGCTTACCCTCAGAAGTACAGTAGAAGTAGCTCTTAAATAACACCTCTTTTCCTTCCTTTTCTTCTCTGTTAATTGTTTTAGGAGATGCTGGCCAAAACTGTCAAACTAGAGATTTTTTTGGTCTTGAAATAAAACAGTTTAGTTCCCAAGGTTACAGTTACAGTACCCCAAGTTGAGTAGTATTTTTGAATATTCACCATTTATGTCAAAACAAAGCTTTTATTTTACTTACAGTTGTGGGTTTAAACATGACGAAGTTTGACAATTTTGCCCACTGTATTTAGTATTTTCAATATGAGGAAATTTTTCTCATGTCTTGATTTATACACATCTCAAATGTGCAAAAAGGTGCACACTTCTATCAACGGAAACCAAGCCTCCAGTGCCCCTGAAAGGTTTACAACTGCAAATGCTTCAGTTCCATCAGGTCTGCCAACAACAGCCAGCTTCGACGTCATGCCATGGTCGTCGGGTCACGCTAACCTGCCTGAAACAAACTTCACTTTCATTGCAGATGAACATCTGCTGTTGTCCATGTTACATTGATTAACATGTATGTGCCATTCATTCATACTTCTATTCATGGTTCATTTTTACTAAGCATGTAATGTGCTATTACTCTGCTGCTGTATACATTTTGTATACATTTCTGTTCTTCCTTGAAAGACTGTGAATGCTTCGGGCACTCCAACCGGTGCAGTTACATCGAGCTGCTCAATACGGTCATTTGCGTGAGCTGTAAGCACAACACTAGAGGCCAGCACTGTGAGTTATGCAGGCTGGGCTACTTCAGAAATGCTTCTGCAGAGCTGGACGATGAAAATGTGTGCATAGGTCAGTCCCGGGATAACTGCGGCTTTTCTTCTGTGCCTTTTCAGCTACTGGCAGCTGCTAGGGACCACTGCTGCTTACTTGCCAGTTAAGCCAGAATGAGCTTTTTCAATGGATAAGAACATCTGTGTAGACTTCTCACTCCATTTCCATTGCTCCTGTAGCCCCAAGGAGGTATTTTGAATCTGTATACGGCGATGAATCTCTCTGGCTAAGTGTCCTGGGAAGACTTTCCCAGGAAACCCCTGAGAAACTGTTTGTGCTGTCCTTCTGCAGGAGGGAGCCATGGTGGAGTTACACATGTGAAAACTGAAGTATCGAGCCATAAATACCTGTTCCCTGTCAAACGTTCAGAATCATTAGTACAGACTTTTGAATACTTGCCTGGAGACCTACAAAAGTTGCCAACTGCATCAACAGGACATGGGGAGTGGTGTTTATTAACCCCTTTTATTCACTTAAATGTCATAAAACATGTTGCGGCTATTTCTGCTCCCAGGCATAGGGCTGTAAACACAGTGTTACCACCCCTCTCCTTAGAGGAGAAACTGAAATTATGTCCATGTGGTTAGCAGCAAAATGTACCAAACCAGTTTGACATGATGTCAAATTTAGAAAAGGGATTCCTAGGTGAAAACAGTGCTTTACTTAGCATCTGCTATAAATACCCAAATGCAGAATTAAAGAAAATGTCAGAATAAGAATAACATATTGGGAAAAAATACAAGATCTTTATCACACTAGAAGAATATGCATTGTTCTCATGTCACCAAAGACTACATATAGCAAAAAATTAGGACACTTTAGGTGAAGATGGAACGTAATCAATAAAGGAATCCTCATACAATGGCCAGTAATTAACAAGTAGCCACAAAAGATGCTGTTCTAATAACAAACAAAGGTGGAGATTTTAGTTATGTTATGTTTCTTATAGACATAAGCATCAGTTTAACCTGTTCTGGATTTTCATTATGATTTTGTTTTTCTTTCCATTTTCCAGGAAGCAAAACCAAAGAGTAGTTATAATATATTTTCATGACAAAATAGACTATAGGTGAATAATTTTTATTTTAATATTCTTTGTAATCCATTGCTGAGATTCAATCCAGAAAATATTTAGGTTGCTATTATTTGTTTTGGTCTGCAGTCTGATAGTTTTACATTTTATTTCATTATAAACACCCAGATCCATCCACACACTGCACTTCACGTGTGCTCCTCTTAACTTTGCTTGGCAACACATTCAGAAAATGCATGATCTCCTTTGACATTAATTAGTCTGAGCTAATAAGAACTTTAGCAGGCAAGTCATGATTTTGTATGACTGTGCTGAAGAGATTAACCCAATCAAATGTTCATGGGAAAAAAACCCTATACCTCATATTTGTTTGATGTAGATGACAGACATCATTGATATGACATCATGGCTGTATCATTTCAGCTGCCTAAACAGGCATAATGAATATGACACTAAATTACTCTATTTGGGATTTTTCATCAGGTCGTTCAGTAAGTTGTTTTCCCATGTACACTGAAATGCTAAGACAGCATCTGTAGCTATGTAGCAGAATGAAGCTAATAAACGAGGAGTCAAAAATAAGTAAATTTTAAATTACTTTGCAACTGATGTATTTAGAATGTCTTAGTAAAACAACTGTGCACTTTGAAATTGCCCAGAATCTGCAGCAATAAAATTTTAAAACTTTTCACTTAACAAGAGTCTTTTAAAAAAAGTAAAAAAAAGAAAAAAGAAAGAAAAAAGAAAGAAAACACACCAAAAACCCAACGTGATTCATTTGCTGACTTTCCCACCCTAATGCAAGCAGAATTCTCTTGGGCTCCCCTGAGAATTGTCCCAGGTGAGATGACTATAGGATCAGACCCTGCTTTGCTACATATTAAGTAATTTGGTTTAATTGAATAATATTCTTCTTGGACTAAAACAGCTTTCAGGATCATAGTGATCATATGCATACAAAATCTATGTATCATAGCCAATTTGCCAACTCAAGACTTTCACACTACCAGCTGATTAAAGTCAGATACCCAAGCACTTTTCAGAAAACAGAGAAGTTTGTTCTTGAAGTACTTTCCTGAACTGGGGCTCCTAAGATTAACTGGGCAAAATGTACAGTATTTTCACCTCTGACAGAGTTGATGGATTCACCGTCCTTCTGGGTCAAGCACAAAGAGTTTTGCTCTATTGGAAATGCTCATTTCTCTTTTCTCTTGAGTTTAAAAGCAGTGTCTTGGGTTTTAAGTACAAGTGGAATGTTGGCATGAACATTTTAATAAGCAGATTTCCAGTGACATGTGCTAGTCTTATTCCCATATGAATGTCATTTTTCCAGGCTAATTCTTTCCTCTTCAGCCATATATGTAGAAAAGCAAAAAATGTTTGGATAAGCCAGTTTAATGGCAGCTAACAGGGCTTTGGCTCTGATTTATCAAAACTACTTATATAGTTTTCATAAGTATATATGGTAAGTACATGGATAACAAATCTATAGACGGTGCTAACTAAATGGAAAAAATGTAAAATGTTTCATTTTTAAAACTGATGAGTTCCAAAGAATTCAAATACTGAGAAGGTTTTTACCAGTGAACCAAAAGTAACACATTATACAGTGGGCTTAAATCTAATTTCATTATGTCCTTATTTTCTTTAGAAGCAAAATAAAAATTTATTTCCTAAATGAAATATCAAAAATCTGTTGATTTATGAGTTAATTGCAAAATTACCTCATATGGGCAACTACAGTTTCTAAATAAATCAAAGTATTTTAAAGTTAAAAATCATTCACTTGACGTGCTTACAGTGAAAAAGAATTTAATGAACTTGAAGAGCTTTTTATTAACACAAGGTCTTGATAAAGTCTTAGTAACTCTTTATTTCAGTGAATTCACCCACTGGCAAGCCCATGATTGCATAACATGGAAACCACCACGTAGACCCAGAGTAATAAAACATTTCCATTGCCTTACAACATAAATACTGAAATGGTAGTTATCATCACACCTATGAGAAAGCCAACCTTGCAGTCACTTAGGGTTAAGCTTCCATTAACACTTGTGAGACCTTTAGAAACCCTAGTGGTATGCAGTTGAGTGAACCCTGAGGGTTGTCCTGTAGCCACTGTCAACCCAGACTGATTAGCAGCAAGCCTGCAAGCTTCTGCCCATTTTCCCAGCATTCTTTTTTATGTAGTTTCATTGTGCTTTCTGGGCAGCACCACACTGATAATAGTGAATATCAGCAGATGACTACTACTGTCATCTTCCCACCCCTCAAACAGTCACCAGATGGAGGTTAGGAGGAAAATTCTTTCCCAGCTCAGATTTGCAGGGGTTTTTTCCCCACCCTGGAACCTGGCGTGTGGTCTGCTTATTAGCATGATGTGGGAATGTTAATTTAATGTTATTTAATGCCCTTGTACAGGCATTGGAGATACTCACTGCCTGCCTATGGCACACTGGAATTGTGGCTTTTGAACTTTTTAATGTCTTAAGTATCTGGCAGGTCTTGGGAAGTGTTCCACAGCCTGTGATATTGTGTTGGATGATGAACTTGGATGTTTGGCTCTGTAGGTTTTATCTGTGGTGTCAATTGTATAATGGGAAAGATGGAGGCCAGATTCCATTAGTAAAGGTTACTGGGTCTGTTTGGCGTTCTGATTTGATCTACTACTTTTGTAAAAGGGCCTGGCTTGGAGTTTTGTTTCCACTATCTGCTTTCCCTTAAAGCCCTGCCAAGTGCTGGGTCCTGCACTTGGGTCACAAGAACCAAATGGCTGGAAAACTGCTTGGCAGAGAGGGATCTGGTGGTACCAGTCAACAGCCAACTGAACATGAGCCAGCAGTGTGCACAGGTAGCCAAGAATGCCAACACAACATCTTGGCTTGTATCAGAAGTAGCATGGCCAACAGGACTAGGGAAGTGATCCTTCCCCTGTACTTGGCACTGGTGAGGCCGCGCCTCAACTACTGTGTTCAGTTTTGGGCCTCCCACTCCAAGACAGACATTGAGGTGCTGGAGCGCATCCAAAGAAGCGCAGCAAAGCTGATGAAGGACCAGAGCACAAGTCTTATGAGGATCAGCTGGAGGAATTGGGGTTGTTTAGCCTGTAGAAAAGGAGGCTGAGGGGAGACCTAATCACCCTCAACAACTACCTGAAAGAAGGTTGTAGTGAGGTGGGTGTCAGTCTCTTCTCCCAAGTAACAAGTGATAGGACAAGAGGAAATGGCCTCAAGTTGCTCCAGGGCAGGTTTAGATTGGACATAAGGAAAAATGTCTTCACTGAAATTCTTCACTGGTTATTAGGCATTGGAAGGGGCTGCCCAGGGAAGTGGTGTAGTCACCATGCCTGGAGGTACTTAAAAGATGGATAAAATGGGGTGCTTAGAGACATGGTTTAGTAGTGGACAGGTTATGGTTGGACTTGATGATCTTAAAGGTCTTTTCCAACCAAGCGATTCTGTGATTCTAATCAGCACAATATGGGCCTGATACTTCTTACATATTTACATGATAGAGTTTAGGTAGGAAAGCTTTCACTGATTCAGGGTCAGGTTCTTGTTCTCTCAAAAATATAACATTATATATCGATAACATTCAATATCATAGGCCATACATTTCCTTCACAAACACTTGTTTAATTCACTGTAACTATATTATGTCCAACTAATCTATTTTTAATGTACACGATTCGGGACCTCTGTTTCCAATGTAATTTCAAGCTTTTTGTCTTTCAAGGTTTTCTATAAACACTCTTCAAGCAAATGTTACTTCCTATATTCAATATGAATCTCAGTTCTATGCCTGTTTACATAAGCATTTCATAAACCTGATTAACATCAGAATTGCCAGCTTTTCAAATGGCACTCAGTGTGCTGTAATTCTGTTCAGCCTTGCACAGTATTTTTGGCATGTCAGTTTTTAACTTCATTAATGAATGTTGCTGGTTAATTGACTCTATTATTATAGTGAAACTCTGTTTGCCAAAGGTAACTATTCTTCTTCAGCATGCCAAATGTTCAAAGTGCCATCTGTAATTTATAGTTAATAAGCACCAAGACAACAGATGACAAATATCTTCCTAGTAATTTTTTCCTGTTGCAGCTTTTCCAATGGATTTTTTAAGTATTTTACTTCCCAGTTCAACTTAATTTTGTCATTTACAATGTCACTGAGGTTTAACCTACTGCTGTGGAACAATTGCCAAAGGTAGTCATCAAAGTAGCACTGATTCACAGACGTACAAAGCCAGACTCCCACCAGGTTGCCCAGATTCAGGAATCAATGTGTGCATCTTTTGCCTTCAATAGCAGCAGAGATCAGACGCTACCAAAATGTGTATGTGGTCTCAGCTGACAGTGGAATTACTCTGGGTCTACATTGGTCTACATACAAATAAGATATAGCCCTTCATTTAAAAAAATGAATAAATGGAAGGGTGCCAAAAATGAGCTCTGCTAGCTACTGTCTTGTCATCTTTGTTCAGCTGGCTGAAAGCTGAACACTGATATTGTAATCATGTTAAAGAAAAAGGCTGTGAATGAACAACACAGTAAGTGTTGTGGGAGGAAATGGGTTACCCTACTCATTCTTTAATTAGGGGAACACACATGGAAAATACACAGTGGGGAATAAGCCTCATTGCATTTTCCATCTGCCCACTGGGAGGTGAGAGAAATGAAAATGGCAACATAAAGCCAGTTCTGATAAGTTTTGCATTACATTACTGCTCACCTCAAGCTTTTCATTGTGGAATATGAAAAAGGTTTATTAATGTCACTGATAAATACAGTCTCATCAATTTAATGGCAAATATCCACATAAATTATTATACTGCTCAAAACTATAAAGGAAGACTATCTTGGAAATAAGTAAAGTGCATTTATACAGCCCTGTAAAGACATTTAGCTCTTCTGAAAATATTGAGTAATACAGATAAGCCTATTTTAATAATGTGAAACATTTCACCCTGATGGCACATTGATGTATCCTTACAATACAAAGCTTTTCTAATGTTCGTTAAATTGTCAAAAATATTTTTACCAAAAAGGATCTGTTACAACCACTTATTCTCAAAGATCATGATGTCTTCTCTCTTTATAGCTTTTCTCTTGACTTTTTCTCTTCACATCATAAAATGCCTCTTCCTGAAATGACATATGCAAACAAATAAGTGGACCTATAGTAGTTATATTCACTACTCTAGATATCCTTAATAGACAGTCTTCCTTTACATTTAGCACTGGAAATGCACCCTTGATTAGTATTGAATGAATTATCACCAACGTAGACCTGAATCCAGTGTGTATGTGTTGTCTTGTTTCTGCAGACTGTTATTGTAACCCTTTTGGTTCAGTCCATGATCGCTGTAATGACAGAGGATTTTGTGAGTGTAAGGAGGGAGCATCAGGGCCTAAATGTGATAAATGTCTGCCGGGATATATCTGGCACAACTTGGGCTGTCAACGTAAGTAACTCTGAGAGTCGCCCCTCTCCTGCATCTTTGCTGCCTCTGTGTCCGTGTGCTATCACGTGCAGCTACTTAAGAGCAGAAAATGAGCAAAACGCTCTAGGAGCTGTGAGAATGCCAAACTGCCTGAACCTCTTAGGAGTCTCCCAACCGAGGACAGTAAATTGACTGTGCCATCCATTCATTTCAATATGCTTTCAGTGTCCTCTCTCTTTCTCTTGCTAACGCCTGGAGGAGCTCCCACTGAAATATGTAAATACGTGTGTCTTGCCAACTGTGAAGTAAGTTTTGTATACTAAAACATCAGCATATTAACTCCAAATTTAAAATTCTTACTAAAAGACAAAAGGTCTCTGCATGTTCAGTTTTTTCTATACTAAATTTCAGCTTCTTGAGTAACTTAACTATATGTCCCTGGACAATAAAACTGCAAAACACTGGCTCATTACATGTTATAATTAGTGAAAACTAGACAAAAGCAAAGGTAAAAAAAATGGTGGTATACTTAACATCCTTAAAAATAAGAGCTGACATTTTGTGTAAATATTGCCAGAGCAGATGTTGTTTCAATGCTTAGTTGTATATTTAGCTTCTCTTCTGGTTAACAGATCTTGTAAACAAGTGAGTGGAAATACCACATTGGTATATACAAGACTAGACTTTTATTAACTTTTCTTTTGTAGCAAATTCTTAATATTTGGTCTTTATATCTGTTTTGATCATCTACTCCCAGAAACTCTGGAGAGCCCTCTTTTGTTTTCTTTTCACATTTTCTCCCTGCCTCTCTGCATTCTTACAGACACACATTAAAGACATTTCTACAAGAGCTTGCTTTTGATTTTAAAGACTGAGAAAGACAGGAGAGAATGTAATTACTGACAGCAATTAGCCAAATATTATAAAAATGGCCATATAGCCACACAAATTATCTATATGCTCTAAAACAAAGGCAAGTCATATATCATAAATTAAAAAAAAAAACCACACCACAAACAACCCTCCACAATAAAGACAGAAATTACCACAGCCTCTCCAAGTGATGAATACATCCGAACTAGAAAATCTGAGCTTGTGACAATTCAGCAAATATATCTGGAAGTAAAACCAATAAATAAAGAATTTCAGGAAAGATTGTCATATTAACCAATTAGCATTAAAGGCAGTACATGAAGAGTAAGAAAGTTTGCATGGGCAACAGTTAAATGTTACCCAAGAAAACTAGACTTTCTCACCTTCTACCAGAAAGCTCCTGTTCATATTTGGCAGGTTACCTAAACCATACTTTTCACATGTGGTTGTTAACTGTATTTTCATTTTCTGTATGCTTGCACTTGAGTTTTGATTCATAAAATTACTAAACACTTGCGGCAGAAAACAGGTGAAGTAGTGTTTCAAATCTCAGAGGTCCCTGTTGTTAATACTTTGAAACATCGACTCCTTCATATCTAAAAAAGAACCCTCAGAAATCATAGGGTCTCCCTCTGCCTTGCATCTCTCATGTAGAAGGAATTTGTCACCACCTCTGTACCTTACCCTAGGTACTGGCAAAATAAGCATTAGAACTTGTGAAGCATTGAGAGATTGCAGTGACAGGAACCATGGGCCAGGAAAATTTAAAAAGGAAATAAATATGATTCTCTGCAGTAGCATTTGAATAAAGTAGAGTTAATGCAATGTCCACACAGTGGATCTAAAAAAAAAGACACTAAGTAGCAGAGATTGATTGAACAGGTCTGGAGGTCTGTGGAGCAAATTGTACAGTCATATAATTAATATAATAATATATATACCAGCTTGTCAAACCAATTGCTTATTAAATGCATTATTTCTTATCTTTTCAGATTTAGCCAGTATAACCCCAATAATGTTCTTTTAATTAGGATTTTTTGAGCCCAACATATAATTAGCCTGATTTTAGCTGAATCAGACTATTTGTAAAAGCTTTAGACAGTTTCTGGAAATGCAAGCTAGTGCCTTTATAGTTGCTGAAAACCTAATTAAGTTTCCCTCACTGTGTTGTAATTTTCTGAACAATCTCAGTCTGATTGCGTAGCTGTTAGATATTCTCCAAGATGGACCAAATTATCTGATCAAATTCAGAAGAAAAGCAACTAGATGTGGTTCTCAGTTTTATGGAACAGACATCAAATTGTCATGTTTTACCAAGCACACACTGATTTAAATCTAATTTCAAGTCTTTTCATAGAGGAATGGAAATCCAATTAATTTAATTTTGCAGTGTGGCATTTTTAGCTTTGTTTGTTGTTTTCCAATTGAAAACTAAACAAATGACTGGGCAAGCAAGCAGAACCCCATATACAAGAAAAATAAGAACACATTCTGTTACCTTAGCAAAGCTTAAAGAGATTATTTGTCTGGGCATGTGGCATGTGGTTTTAATCTGTTTCCCTGAGCTTGTGCTGTACAGAAATGTATACATGCAGAGGTGGATATGCGCACATACTCCACAGACCAAGATGTGCTTATTTTCGTTATACATAGCCTATTGGCATTCTATTCTTATCTATTGGTTTATCTATTCTTATGGAGCTTTGTTGCTAAAAATCATTGATCTAGGGCAACCAGAGACTTGACCTGTAAATAAATTATTTGAATCTATAGCATAGCCAGTTTAATTACTTGTATGATTGTATTACTAAATGGAGCAGCTTGGTTTTGTGTATTAGTAATCCTGTTTGGCAAAAAAAAAACAACGCTAAAGTCTTGTGGTGTTTTCTAAGGCTCACAGTCTATCATTTGAAATTAGTGTTCATGATCTACCTTATACCGCACATGGGCAAAAGACACAGAGGCTATTATCCTCAGAAGTATTCATTTAGGTACCTCACTCTTACTGATTTTATCTAAAAGCTTTGAGGATCTAGGCTGAGCACTCATCACTTGCATGTCTGTGTATACAGAGATCAGATGCAATTCTAGACTCTGCCTCCCAGATGAAAAGCACCATGATAACAGCTGTTACCTTATTGAATTCAGGGTTTATGCTGCATAGACGTGGCAGTCAGCAGGGTCTGGTTGGTACAGGAAGGATTGCTGCCCTCAGAAAAAGAGGCACAATAGATGTAGCATAAGGCAAGGTCACCTCTAAGTCCTTCCCCAGAACCATTCATGCCACAGGCATTGTGTGTGTGGGGATGCTGCTGGGGTTTAGCTCCCCACCTCTCTCTCACCAATGGTTTTTTCACCAGCATGCATACATAGATGATTTAAGGAAGATCAAGGAATGACTTAAGAACAGAGCACTCTGGGTCCTGAAATCCTTTTAGAATCCCATAAATGTGAGAAAATACATAGCTATTGGGTTGGCCAAAAAAGTAATTACTGTTTGGTTTTGTTTTTTTTAATAGATGGACATACATGTCTTGAAATGTATCTAACTTCATGTTAACTGCAAATTCATTCTGTAAATTGACAGCTGAGAGTTCAAGCTTGTTTTAGAAAAAGAAAGTCCACGACTTTCATTAACAGTTATTTGGCATTGATTTCAAAATGGAAACTCAAAAGGAACATCTTTGTCATATTTTGCTGTATTACTTCAGAAAAGGAGAAAACGCTGTGCAAGCTCATAAAAAGTTATGTGATGTGTATGGTGAAGTTGCCTTAAAACTACGGCAGTGTCAGAATTGGTTTGCTAATTTTGGTGTGGAGATTTTGATGTTAAAGATGCACCATGCTCAGGAAGGCCAATCGAAGTTGGTAACGACAAAATAAAGGCATTGATCAAATCCAGTCGGCGTTTAATGACACAAGAGATTGCTGATAAGCTTAACGTATTGAAATCAAGCATAGAAAACCATTTAAAACAACTTGGACATGTTAGGAAGTTCCATATTTGGGTACCACGGGAGCTCAAAGAAATTCATCTCAGTAAGTGCATTGACATCTCTGATTCTCTCTTGAAGCATGAAGAAAATGATCCATTTTTGAAACATATGATAACAGTTGATGAAAAATGGGTCATCTACAATAACAACAAACCAAAAAGATAATGGAGCAAGTGTGATAAACCAGCTCAAAGCATTTCAAAAGCAGATCTTCACCAAAGGGAGGTTATGCTGTCAGTCCGGTGAGATTTCAAAGGTATCGTGGATTTTGCATTGCTTACAAGGAACAAAACCCTTAATTCAGACATGTACTGTCCTCAACTGGATAAATTAAATGTCGCCACCAAACAGAAGTGTCCAGAATTGGTGAATCACAAAGGTGTTTTTGTTTCTCCATGATAACACTAGACCACATACAAGTCTGGTCATTCATTAAAAATTGTTGCAGCTTGGATGGGATGTGTTACCACATCCACCAGATTCACCAGACCTGGCACCATCAGACTACCATTTGTTTTGTTCTTTACAAATCACCTTGAATGGTAAGAACTTCGCTGCTGATGAGGATATCAAATCGTTTTTGGAACTGTTTTTCTGAAAAAGATAAGAACTTCTTTAAGCGCAGAATCATGGAGTTGCCTGAAGGATGGCAAAAGATAATTGAACAAAATGGACAATATATTGTTTAATTCAGTTTTTGTTTCTCATGAAAAGTTCATCTTTCATTTACCCACAAAAAAAATTCAGTTACTTTTTTGTGCAACCCAATGTATTTCATTTTTCTATTTAGAAATTAAATTATTTCCTTTAAAAATGAACATAAAAACAGAAGAAAAAGCTCTAAACCTGGCAAGAAGTTTAACCAGCAACTACAGCTGGTTTGGGCTAGTCTTATACTGCATATAGTGCTCTGTGATAAGAGGAACTTGTAGCAAAAGGTAGAAACATTTACACACAGAAGAACGACTAGAGTTTTTAAAAAATGGTTTAAGACAAAATACTAAGCAGGAACATTTGTTTGATTTTCTAAATGTACTGCTCATAGTCTTTCATCTTTTGTATTTCTTGGCCAATGACATTTCAGGTGACTAAATTCTGTTGCATACATACAGGAGCATTTAAAAATAACACCTTTTAATTTCATGCACACAATAATTTATTCCAAAACCAGCTGCATATTTACCTAATCAGGCAAAGAAAAAGTGACTCTCTTTGCCAGTGTTGGTTTACCAGCACAGCCTGAATTTTCATTAGGCATGATCACCCTACAGGGGAGAAGGTGAGGGAAGGTCCGGTGATTAAAATTCTTCACTGTCTCCTGTTATCCAGTCAATGAGCAAATGAAGAGGTTGAACCTGCAGCCCCATGAAGGCCTACACCAAGTACAGGAGTTACCAGTGGTAGCTTGTACCCAAGTTAAATTCAGTACATTACTTATTGTGAATCACCGTTTTAAATCATTTTAGTTTAATAGGGTAAATCTTAATTAGCAAATGAGTTTTCAGCCAGATGCCGTACGTCAAGCTCTGAGTAGTTTATTTTTTCCTTTTTTTGTTAATTTTAAATGTTTTTTATTAAAGCAGGCAGATTACACTCTTATCTTCAATGCTCAAAGTGCGCTTAGTGCTTGTATCTGTCTTCCAGCCTGAACTTGTGTCACCTCACAGTCTGTTAGATAATTCATATTCTGACACAGCGTGCATTCAACTTATTCTATGATTATTTAAATATAAGCTTTTTTGCTTGCACTTTATCATGTGTTACAAATGTTAGAAACAGAGGCATTTGATCAAAATCATCATGCAGATTGAATTTGAAAAGAAAATCAAACCTGAAATTGCAACTCTAGAACTTAAATTATTTGGTTTTGGAAGTTTGTGTTTACAATTCAGCAAGAAAAGGCGTGTTACCATCCATTTCCTTAAAAAAATATATCTTTCTTGAAAAAACACATCACACTTCTCTCTAGACAGATTAAATATATAAATGTAATGGTCTCCCCACCTGAAGGTTAGTGATGTTTTATACATATTTGTACACAGATGTATCCTGTGAGACCCTACACATTGAACTTCTGCCTGGGGAACTATACTCTGTAAAAAAAGAAATAGAAATTCAGAATCAAGATGCTCTGCTTTCCAGTTCACTGTTGCAACTGCTTGCGTGGGGAGCCATAGACAATCCATGTATATATCTGTTTGTATCTTGTTACATCTTTCTACTAGTAGCAGTTTTAATGCTTTTAGCAGGTCTGGGTACAGTGGGATTTCCCTTCTGCACAGGTGCTGTACACACTTGCAGTTCTGGAGTGTTTTGGTGCCAGGACTGGTGCTAGTAAGTGCAGCTGGAGGGAAGTAAAATGTATAAAGAATTATACTGAAAAGGATAAATTCTGGTGGGACTGAACACCGCTGTCTCCAAGGAACAATCTGCCCCTGGTCTTTATACATGAAATACTCATCTCAAAATACTTATCTTACATGATTGTTATGCAGACTACAGAAATTGTGTGTGTATAGGGATTTGAATGTAAGAGGAACAGACTCTGCTTCAAATGGCTCCAAATTTAAATCCAGAATAATTCTTCTTAAATCAATCCAGAACCCCACTGCTGCAGCTGAAGGCAAAGTATGGCTTACAGATGTAAGGCAGCTAAGGCAAGATAACAAACAAAATTACAGCATTATTGAGCCTGATTCTCAGATGATGCAAAGCACTGATTCCACTCACCTCTGGGGAAGCATGCTGATGATTTATACGTGTAATGCCATACTGATATCTTGGGTCTTTTAAACCTGAGAAAAGACAACGTGAATACGCATATAATGCATTAATTTCAAAATGCACGACCCACAGAATAATCATACGGATACAAGGATACATAGAAAATTTTTCACCAAAGTATGAATATCATGGAATGGTATTATTTTTTTTAAGAAGTACTGGATTTGAAGGAGAAAAAGAAGGTTGAGATCTCTCTGGGGAGGAGATATTTTAGTCAGAATAAACATTTCAGAACACAAACACTGTATTTAACAAAAGTGATTAAGTGAAGCATCTTTCCTCTATGAAGAGCACAGAGAAGATGAAAACACAAGGTGCTTTCTCTGTATAGTTATACAGATGTACATAATTACTGTAGCATACCTTAGTTGGGCATCAAGTCTCAAGCTGCTTTTAGTACAGCTGCCTACAATGCACGTGATATATTGTAGCACTGGAAGAGCCTGCAGAGGGATTAGCCTAGATGGGGCATTGATGAGAGCTCAAGGACATTGTCTTAGCAACTCTGTGCTGGAAGAAAAGCTTCTGTGAACAGGATGGGGATTGTGAATTAGGTTAAGATCTGTATATGGGGAAGCCAAAGAAAATAACAGGTCATAAATCAACCAGAGGCATAGAAAAAGGGAGTAGGTACCATAGTTAACATCTTATTAAGAGGCACCAGGCTCTTAACGGACTGTAGCTCTCCAGGAGATTTATTCTGATAACCTGGTGATCAGAGTTACTTTCTCCAAAGTGAAAAGAAAATGGTTCAGTAGCAACATTTATACACCTGACCTTTAATAGAACCATTTTTCCCCAGCAGAGTGAAGGATTGGATTGGAGCAAAGAGGTTGTTCTCCTCTTGATCTTGCCCAGTTGTCGGCTTCAAAGCTGCTATTCCATGGCTGTCTAAACTGCTCTAATTGCAAGTGCTGCAATCCCTCTTCTCCCAATTCCCAACTATTTAGTCCCACACCCCGAGCCATCTCTCTGGCAGTTGTTTGACCTTTCATTGAACCATTTCAGACCTAACACAGCAGGACACAAACCAAACAAGAAGAATTGTTTTCTGCTGTGTTAGTTCTGTGATATGAATCAGCAATGGGTTGAGCAAGCAGGAGCATCCTGGGAGAGCACAACCCACTCAGCTGGGGAGCGATGCAGCCCTGGCAGCCAGCAGTTAGGCTGGACCGGGCTGCTGTGCGACTGTGGCACAGCTGGGGGATCAGCATTCTCATCTCTCCATCATTAGATCATTCACACTGCAGTCTAGCAAGTTGCTGGATTTTTTATCAGACAAAGCCATATCATTTCAGATGGATGAGCAGGTGGATAATTAGGGAAACTTCCTAAAAACTTTTTCCTGGGGGAAAAAAAATAGTTCTATACTCTCCTTAAAATAATTTTAAAACCCACTAACCTACAGAGAAACACACAATTCTCTCAGATTTTCTTGTACTGGAGCAGAATCATAACTTTTTACAGATGGCAAAAGTAGGATTCTCCATGCAGAGCCAAAATGAGCAGTGGTGGCGGATGTGAGCAGAGTGCATTTCAAGCCAGCTCAATTGAGAAAGAGTGAATACAGTTTTTAGGGTATTTACTATTTTTGGTGCTGTATCATGGGAGAGTCCTGAACAACTAAATATTAGGAGATTCATGAAAAGCTAAACAAGTAGCATTATTTGTTTTCCTTAGTCAGATGATTTAAAAATGGTTAATATTTGATACTACAATGATAAATATTTTAATATAGTATATTGCAGTCGGTTAGGAATAGATCAAAAAGATACAAAGTAAGCTCCACTAGATAAACTTTTATTAGGTACATGAAATAGAACATAAAGCTTGATAGCAATTACCATTTAATCTATTCACATTTGGGAAAGTATTGAAGGGGAAACTTATAACTCACTTAGTTGTTATGAATTATTAAATATTCATTTGAACAGTGATGAGTAGGACTGCTTTTTCTCTGAAAAATCTGTCACACTTTCCTTTTAAGCCTTTTCCATGGCCATAACTTCTGTGTAATTTGCCTGCTTGCTGCCTTTCTATGAGGACAGAAATAAAGAGATCAGTAGCACCACAGACACACCCGGACTTTTTTATGAAGGAGCCTTAGAAGGATCATTTAGGAGTAGAAGTAAAATAATCTCTATCCTACTTAACTGCAGATAAAACTACTGACCTGGGGCAATTAAAGATAGTTCAACACTTCCTATCTTGACATTGGTGCAGCTGACACCAGCACATGCAGATTATTAAGACTTGAGTAGTTATTGTTTCAGCTTCGTTTACACCTGTGCAAATACATCTCTCTCCAAAGAGAGCTTTCTGTTCACAATGATGGCAATAGGAAAACCAGAGTTTCATTTAGAAGGAGCTGATAGGTTTGA